CATTAGCATTAACTAATATTTTCTTGTCTCTTCTCAAGAAGCTAAGCAAGACCACGACTTGCAAATCTCAAAGGAAAACCAGGTTGCTGCTGTAAGCGAAATTTGTGGACCAGTAGGTGGCAGTCTTCTCTCAAGACTGGAATTTGTATACCACTCAGTACAATGAGCAGAGAAATTGTGCTGGAGGTGTCACTTTTAGGAAGAGACATTAAACCAAGGTGCTGACTATTTTGACAATAGCACTTATTGAAACAATAAGGATTTTAACTGGTTTCTCACTAAATTCCACTTTTGGCTTGCACAGCTTTGTTCAAGCTTCCCCTCAGACTCCATTTGTACATCTACTGGTTCACCACAAGCCTGTTCTTTCTTCGAAAATCATTGGCGAGCCTGTTAGACCCCTGGCACAGCTGTATACCCACCAGATCCTAGAGGGAGTTCCTGTGCCATCATTGAAGATCCATCTCACATCCTTCATCAGAGGCCATCAGTCTTGCAAACAATGACTGTAAAGAAGTCTCATCAATATAATGTCTAATAGACAGACCCCCCCCCACAAATACGGATGTACTAATATCTCCCCAAATACTACAGTTACTTTCAATCCCTTCTATGAACTGTCTGCCATTTTTATATATGTATACTCTTTTTTCATCGCAGTTTTTTTGTTTTTGGTTTAATAATGCACTTATATAGCGTTATTCTGGACAGATTTCTACAGATAATGGGGTCTCCCTTCCACCACCACCAATGTGCAGCACAAACTCGGATGACGCGATGACAGCCATAATGTACACACTACGCTCACCACACATCAGCTATCAGTGGGGAGAACAGAGTAGTGAATCCAATTCATAGATGGGGATTACTAGGAGGCCTTGACAGGTAAAGGCCAATGGCAAATTTGGCCAGGATGGCAGGGTAACACCCTTACTGTTTTTGAGAAATGCCCTGGGATTTTTAATAACCACAGAGAGTCAGGACCTCAGTTTTATGTCCCATCAGAAGAATGGCACCTTTATACAATATAGAGTCCTTGTCACTATACTGGGGCATTAGGACCCACACAGACCGCAGGGAGAGTGCCCCCTGCTGCCCCCACTAACGCCTCTTCCAGCAGCAACCTTAGTTTTTCCTAGGAGGACTCCCATTTAGGTATTGAGCAGGCTCACAGCTGCTGAGCTTTAGTGGGTTGTCAGATGCAAGTTGCAAGGTGATATGGCTGCTGGTCATATTGTTTTGTGTTGTATGTTGCACCACATAGTTCTTAAATTCACCTGAGGTTGAACTGAATGAGCTCAAGTGGTGAATTTCACACTTGACCTGATCTACTGTGTAGTGGGACTACCAGTACATAAAGGCTGCTGCATTTCAGTGGGGGGATGAAGTGGGCCTGTTCCCACTTATAAAGTGCTTTGGGATTCCTGTGTACGGAGAATGCTACATTTACAAAGCATAAAAAACCCTCGTTTCCAGAAAATCAAGATTTTAAAGGATTAAATATTTTTGGCATAATTTTAGTCATTCGTGACTTGACTATAATGCACTCAGCTGACTGTTGCACATGTATTAAATAGCCATTAATGAAACTGAAAATCCAAATAGAAAAAAAATATACACCACTTTGCAAGAGGACAACATCCTCTCACTTGATCATCCTGATCTTGCAACAACAATGCAGGCTGGTTGAAGACAGCAGAGCCAAGTCCTCTTCAGCGATGAATCAATGCTATGTAAATCGCAGTGTGGTGTGGAATGTGAAGCTAATTAATGTGCACAAATGAACAATCAATGGAAAGGTCCAAGTGTGATGGTCTGAGCAGGAGTGTCCAGGCACTGTAATACTTGTATTTACTGATGGTTTGACTGGATGGTGTTACACTGATCAAGTGTACAGATGCGAGAACAACTCGCATCCTCATGCCGCTCATGTAAACCATGACTTTCTTTTCCTTGAAAGATGGGACAGAAAAACTGCGTATGCCCAACTTGCCAGACAAAAGTCAAAGTGAACATACTGGGATGACACGCGATATCTAGAGTGCAAACACCAGTGCACAGGCAGAGGCTGTTGCAGGCATTATGAATCGGACAGGAAAGCATCTGCAACCTTGTAGAAAGAATACTTATTAGATTAACAGCTTGTAAGGCTTTCAACCCTGGCTATACATGCGTCTAGCCTGGTACTTTCACTGTAGATGAACCCTGTTAAAGACAAATGTTAATCACCATGATAAATTTAGCTGTCATGCGTGTTTAATAAGATGTCAGTGCAACTCCTGTCAATTTATTGCAGTTGTAAGGGAGTTCTCTTGATGCTCGGTGCAAATGCAAAGAGTTAAAATAAAAGCAGGTGGTCATAACACCTCAGTAGGAAAAGATACGCATTGGAAAACCACAAAGATACATCATCTTTATACTCCTTGCTTCTGTGAATTTAATGAGCTAGAGTGACATGAATGCTCCCAATTGACCTTCGTCATTCCAGTACAAGTTGATCACCACTCTACAAGATCAGCCGAGGAGAATCTCACAATAATTAACTGACTCCTCGACTGGAAGCATGCCTCATTAGTAAAAGACATATGGTTGAATTAGGATGACCACACGCACACTGTACAGTACTTATCACACGTTTAGCACAATAGACATCCTTATTACAGTAGAAAATTAAAAACGACAAAAAAATGCTGATGTTTATACTGACATCCAATAAAAAAAGTCAAACAAAATGTTAGGATATATAGTTAAAATCATAGAACTTAAGGGTTATGTTAAAATTGTATAGACTGCCAAACATTTAGAATATTGGGTAGAATTTCTTAGAACTATATTTTTTAAAAGATATTGCCACTCTGCAATCTTTCCAGAGAAGACCAATGCAGCCATGGCTTAAGAGAATACCCTACCTTGGAAAACCCATTAAAAATTCAAAGAAAAGGACTAGCAAAACTAAACTTTCAGTAAATACCCAAAACATTAATCAAAGAGTACAGGAACCTTTTCATTTTTTTTTTATTATGCCTGTTATCTCTCCTATATATACAAATCTTACAATTACATTCGTCTAAAGAACCTGATGAACGCACATCTTCTACAAACAGTATTCCCTTGCTAATGTTTTATATGGGATATTCACGGAAGGAAAGAAAAATGAACAGTCAGTATAGGTTTTCAATTTGGATGCTGTATTGCAAAAAAGCCACGGAAGATATTGCTTTAAAGATGAAATGCTGGAGCAGATAACTGAAAATATAAACAAGTGACTTCAATTAACTGTACTCGGGTACTATTGCAAGGTATGGATACCTCAATGACTTGCAATTTAAGCAGAACACTACTAAAATCAGCTCTTTACAGATAACCTCAGTATGCCTTCTGAATAACTGCAAAAGTTATAAGTTATAAGTTCTGCATTCATTGTTTATGGTTACAATTCATCAGAAGGACTGTTCATAAAAAAATCTGCCACATACATACACTTCATTATTCCAACACAAAATAAACATACCCAAAAGAAGAAGCTTACAAATATAGCCTGATTTTCCAATTTAAAAAATCTAAACCAGTTCAGTGTTATCTACATGATAAACTAAAAATCCAACATAATTGCTAGCTATAAAAAATAACACTGAAGTTGTATCTGCTGGTTTTAGTCTAGACAGAACTCCTAAAAACAATGCACATGAAAATCACAATAAGCAGCATATCATTTATTTCAATGCTTTCTGGATTATAGGTACAGTGTCCACGCAGCACATTTTACAAAAAATTAAGGGCATGGATTTCTGATCAGCAAAATGATTTGTTTCTCGAACTACACTTAAATGCCTAACCTAATTTGAATATATTAAATCCTTAGAAAGTGACAAGATTTCTGACATGACTGAACACAGCAGAGTCCTGCACTCATATTTCCAGTTTTTGCTACAAATAATTATGAAGGCAACACAATTACCTAGGCTTTTAAGAGAATCCTTTATATAAAAACAAAAAAGATGAAAAAATTGTAACCTAAAAACTTAAGAAAAGACCTTATCCTGATAGATGAAAACTGTACATACCTGTTCAGTACCAATTAGCTACAAGAGAAGAGATCGATGTGATCTCACTACTGCAGGTCCTCAATCTGTACAATTTATAAATCAGAAGACATTCCACTGGCCCAGCATGCTAAGCTTTAACCATTAACAGGTTCAGAGAATAACAGTAGTTACCAATTAAACAGACCTATTTAAAACAAAGGGTTTTACGATCTATAATTTCAATTTCTCTTATTTTAAACAAAATATGAAATCTATAGAAAAAATTTTATATTAACATTACGTTGGCGATATCAAAACCTTATTTCCAGTCTGTCCCTAAGAGTTTGAATATAATGTTACAGTTGGTAGAAATTGCACTTAGCAAATATTTAAAGAAACATGTTTCATAACTTTCCATGATCTTCTGTTTTATTCTTGCGGGCATGTTTGTATTTATCGACGTATGCCTTCACCAGATTTGCCACCTTGGCAGAATTGACTTCTCCACTCTTGCTATGACAAATCTGAAAGGAAAAGAAACACTTAACAGAACACCATCTCTTACGCTAACTTCTAACCATGCAAACCTATGCAAAATGCTATTTTTATCTACAGTATGTGAAACACTTTTTTCCCCATGTTTGCTGCACACCTATCCCACTAAATCCGTCTTTACTTACTTTATCCACTGCTTTGCGTACAATCTCTTTGTATTCATCCTTGGTGATGTCCTTGTTTTGGTAATATGGTTTAATTGCCAGCTTAACTTCTTGTATAGCTCTTTCCTGAATTTGCAGCTTCTGGAGATAAATGAACACAAGCATATTAGTTTACCATTCAAATCTGAATCATTAAATGCATGGCAACAGAAATACTAAATGCAGTACATTTTTAATCTACCACTATTAATTGCCATAAAACATCCACCTGCTTCATCTGCACTGAAATGCAATTTTAGTTTATTGCATACTAGATAAAGAGAAATAGGTTTTATTGCTGACTTCTGCAAAATGCAATTAAACCGGCATTAATCACTGTGTACATAACACAGTTTAGAAAGTGGATTACACATTTGTACTTCTCACTAGATTCCAGTTTGAATCTGGAGAAGGTTTTGACAGTATGTTGCTTTCATATTTATTTTTACTATAAAAGTTTGAAACTACAAACACAAATTTGTGTAACTGATATAACATACAATTCAATGTCAATCATGTACCTACTGTACTACTGTCTTTTGTATTAAAATAATTCAATGAAGATAGAACATAATCTTAATTTACCTTTTAAATAACAGATCAAAATCTCTGCATTCAGTTGTTTAAAATTAGGATACCAGCACTACTCATCTCATACAACTTTCCACAAAATTATTAGGTGGATAATACTGACGACTAATAACAGCTAACACAAATGGAATCAGTGCTTGACAACAGTGACACGATATCACAATGTACTTTAAATACCTGTGCACTAGAATATAAACTCAAAAATATTTACCTGAAATGATCGCTGTTGTCGGATTAACATATTTCTAAAAAATGTCACAAATCTCTGCTATTTTGAGGAATTTATGCTATCAAAGAGATGTTATTCTAATGCTTCATCAAGTTAGAAACTGGGATAAATTTAACTCATGACTGTATACAATCACTACAGTATCTCAATGCCCCATTTCATTTATTGTCCTCAAGAAGTAAAATGCTTCAGATCCTATTGTGTTATCCAGTTAAAATGCAAACAACACCAAACATCTTTAAATCATGAGTCAATGGTTTCACAAAAGCTCATAATTACTCAATTGTTTGTGTACAGAGAAAGGAAAAAAGTACAATGAATTTCTCTGGAAACATTTTTGTATACAAATTGAAATCCCTGCTTTGTTTCAGCCTACAATTAAATATACATATAGTCACAAAGGTGAAACATGCCTTTTCTTTCTTTGAACTGTCAGCATTGACTTCAACTCTGATGGTTTCTTTACTCAAAATGGATTTTCCAGCCGCGCTGCTCTGGGTGGTGGACGATGGAAGAATGATGCTAGGTGGTCCCTGAACTGCACTTCCCGGGACTTTGGTTGGATTGGGCAGGAGAGGGGCGCTGAACTTGTTACCCCCCTGGGCACTGGTCACTGCCTGCTCAAGATGGAAACAAGATCAGCAAACATATCCAGTTCATCATTTAAAAAATAAAGCTATATTTGGAAAAATGTCAGGTTCACATTTTAATATCTACACCCTACTCAGTTGAATTGATAATATTTCTTAATCCACTACACTACTGCTTAAAACAGTTAAGTTCAAAATATTCAATAGTACAAAATCACAAAAAAAAAACAAAAAACAAAATAACCAATGGCATTTTACATAATATGCATTAAGGAAGATCACTCAGTCACACTTGTGGTTTTAAACCACAACAAATCATTTAAGCAACCAGCATCTGCAGCAACACACGATTCAGTTTGGGAAACTGGTCCGTAAACAGTTGTTAGGGTATATATTATTAAACATCTATTAATTTATCTATAGTACAGCATCAGTCTGGACAATTCAAGTAGAAAGCATCAGTTTAAAAATCAACAAAATTGCATAAAACATCCCTAATGATCTAGCAACCAATCATTTCAGACTAAAATGCAAGTTCTGAGAGGTGGGACACCAAACTTTTTAGCATGTGTATTTGAAGGATGTATGAACAAATAAGCTTGAGAGTGGGAAACAATATATACTGGCACAATTCTTTGAAACCAAGTGTTGAAATACTATGAAGGAAAACCTGGATGTAATCTCTGAAAGAATATATTCACAACGATGTCCAAGTGTATTTACCTTTTCAAGACAAGATCACATCTGCCCAACTCTAAGTGGGAAGGTTAAAGCAAGAGGTTTCTTACTTCTTTCAGTCTAAGAGCCTAATGAACTTTGATTGCCACTTCATTGTCAATTGGTTAAGAACACCAATTGGTCTAAAAAAAACCTGAGACTGAAAAACCTTTTCTAACACTGTCTGCAATTGTGTCGCTCTCCGAGAACATTCAACTCTCCTCAATTCCTTGAGTGTACAATAAGGTTAAAAAAGTCAACAGAGCCACTGAACTCTGTAGGATAACCCACTGATAGCAAGGACTGCGCCATGCCAGCTCACCTGAGGCTGTTTGCTGTCCAACTGCGGGGCCACAAAGCTAGCCTGCTGTGTAGGTGGAGGAGGGGGTGGGGGTGGGGGTAGACCCTGAGACCCAGGAGCTGGCACCTGCATGAGGGGCACCGCAGAGTGGATGTGCACTGGTAACTGGTGGGACATGTTGAATGGGGCAGGCTGGATGTTCATTGCAGGTGTGGGCACGCCCATAGGGAACTGCAGGATGTTCACAGGCTGTGGGTTAATAGGCTGTGGATTGACTGGCTGCGGGATTACATTCATTTGGTGATGCATCACATTAACAGGAAGCTGCTGGCAGTCACCGGGCTGACTGTTCTGTTCGTTGACAGTTGCATCTAAAAAGACAAAAAAAATACTGTAATTAAAATGTTTTGCAAATATAATTTCATTCTGCAGTACCAATGAAGAATTAGAGTGCATTCTTCACTTCGGCACTACAGTTTAGAATAAAGTAGGCAGCTGCATTACTAGTTAACGTTTCCCAGTTTTTCAGCATCAATTGTTCTAGACGTTTTCTTATTATACAAAGGAACAGGTAATATTTTGTATAATAAAAAAATGTCTAGAACAATTGATGCTGAAAAACCAGGAAACATTTACTATCACTTCTGAACTCTGGGGGGGGGGGGGGGCGGGGGAGTATTCATTAACCTCACCAACTGTTTTATCATGATCAATTTTGTTGACCTATATTAAACATAAAAATTTAATTGACCATATAAGTCTACATGTGAACATGGACAATGTAGCCTTGATACTAATACTAGTTTTGACTCAGTATACAAACCACCTGATGATGACTAGTAGTAACCATATAAGCACTGATTGTACCACAGCATTTTTTTCCAGATGCATCTGATGATTTGTCCATTTTTCCCCAAAACATCCTCTCTGTAAAGGATTAGTTCTGTAAAGGGTGGAAAATTTTGGCTAACTCTGCCCCTCTGTAGAATTAATCTGAATTCCACTAACTGCTTCTCTGCTGCTGCCTTGGCATCTGTTGTCCTAACTTGGGACATCACTCGCATACTGACTTAAACTGCTTGCTTGCATTGACACCAGTAATTTTCCATCACTTTTAAAGAAGCTATGCAACATGGCTGTCATATTACTTATCCTAGAGTTTTTATTAAGGATATTAATGTTGTGATATTTATTATGAATAAACACCTATGATCTCTATACTACATATTCTACTCAAGAATACTACATATTCTACTCAAGGGGACATATTCTACTGTTACTAGTGGAATTTTGATCTATGCTGTTACACTTTTTCTTAATTATCCAAATTTTTCAAGTTCACGGATTTGTTAATAGACGCTTAATCAGTGTTTAAATGCATTTGCAGATCACAGTTTAAGTCTGTTCAGTTTAGTAATATTCTTGATTTCAGTGATTTGCTGAAATCAAGAGGCAAAGAAAGAATTACAAAATGGCAAATAAAATTTGATATTGACAAAGGCAAAGTGATCCACATAGGCTGCAAGAACACACATTATATGTATTTTGTGGATGATGCAGAGCTGTAGGATTCCCTAGAAAAGAAAGTGATCTTAATGTTTATGTAGACTTAGCTATGTTCTCATCAATATAATGTGGGAAGCAGAAAAATTTAGTTTCACCCAAAATGTTGTGGTATCTCGAGTAGCTTCCTAACAATGTGATTGGGGCACAAGCTCCTGTCTTTTAAAATGGTGGAAGTGCATTATTAACTTAGCTATTAAACTACTGTTCACACAAAACCACCTGTTTCAGAAACATTGTGTTAATTTTCAGATAGTTGGCATTATACTAAACCTTCGATACAAATCACTAGGTCCCTTTCAGACATGGTGTTGTTTAAATGGAAATACCAGGAGAGTCATATTTCAGGATAATTCCTGGACTACTGAAGATTTAAAAGCAAGATCTTAATTAAGTTTCATAGGACATGCTTCTGTCTATTGAGCAATTTCTAGGAATTCAGAATGTAATTATAGGTGGTTATATTTAATATGTTCTGAAATAGGTTATAAAATTCCAACATGTAATGAAAATTAGAAGCTACTTATTTAATTTATAAACTTTTATAGAGCATGTTAAGAAAACATTCTACTACTAACGGGCAGTTCAATATTTAAATAAACCCCCTGTAACAAAAAGTATAAGTCAGTACTGTTCAGAAATAGTTCTCAAGGCAACACTGCTTTAAAATATCTATTTTTGACATGTCTTTCAAAGTGTAAACCGTCAAGTCCTACCTTGCCCAGGTGTCTCCTCCTCTTGTTTCATCCACCCCCCCTGTGAGCCTGAAGAGTTCCTCCCCTTCCTGGAGTAGTAATTCTGCACATCGGCTGGCAGAGTTCTGCGCACAGCCCAGCTGGAAGCAGAGGACCAGCCAGAACGATCCACGGGAGGTTCGGCTACAAAATCCTGATCGCCCTTCCGTCTATTGTGACGGTTTTCATTGAACCGACTGTAAGAGTCATTCCCTGAATTGTTAGAGATCCCTGAGAAAGAATTTCTTGGTTGCCAGCGGTTTTCTATTGGTTCCGCCTGCCCAAAACCTCCCCTGAAGCCACCACCACGCCCAGATCCCCCACCACGCCCACGATCCGATTTCCAACCCCCTGGGCTGAAACTGCGATTCCAGGAGTCTCCTGCACCATCATTCTTATTTTCATCCCATCGAGATTCATTAAGAACTCCAGTGTCACGGCTTCTCAACTCCAAGTCAGACTTTACTTTTTCTTTTACCCAGTCTGGATTTTCTGTCCTGCCTCTTTCTGGAGGGATTTCAGCATAGCCTCCACTGTCAGGCTCATTAGATTCTTTGCCTAAGAAATCACTTTGCTTTTCCTGATCACTTCTTCTCTGTCGGTCATTTCCCCTAGAGCTCCTCCAGCTATCATTGGACCACCTGTCCCTTCTCCAAGGGGAATGACCACCCCTCTCGGTCCTCTCTGAGGACGAACCTCTACCATATGTTCTGGACCGAGATCTGCTTCTAGACCGTCTTCTCCCTCTTCTTTCTCTCTCACGGCTACGGTCTCTCCTATGACTATCACTTTCTCTGTCCCTACTGCGTGTTCTGGACCTTCGCCTAGTAGGTGGGGTTGCGTCACGCTCTCTTGACCTAGATCTTGATCTTCTTCTCTCCTTTTTGGAATCTCTTTTAGGAGACCAGGTTGTAGAAGGAGAGTGAAAACGTGATTTGCGCTGCCTCCCTTCCTTTTTCTCTGGTTCCTTCTGTTCTGTTGTGGAACTCTCTGTGGTCTCATCTGGAGTTTTCTGTTCCATTTTCTTGTCATTTTCAGAAGCTTGGCTGTCAGACACAAGACGTACTGCTGTAGAAGAGGCATGTTCAGTTTTGTTCTCTTCAGTTTTCAGCTCACTAAGTTCACTATTAGGAGAGTCACATTCCATTGGTACCATCTCATTATTATCTTCAGCGAAAGACACTCCGTTTTTACATTCACTACTGTCCACAGATTCTGTAACCTGAGGATCAATATGGAAATGTTCACATCCCTGTAAAGATTTCCCTTCCACATCCAATTCCTCCTGAGATTTCTTGGGAATGGCTCTGTTTGGTTGATCAGCTTTTGATTCATTGTCTACAGTTTCTTTACTTTCTTTATCAGAATGATGAAACTCTTCTAAATCATCTGAACACGCTTTAGGGTCTGTGTGCTCACTTGACTCATTTACAGGCTGAGGTGATATGCATTTTTCAGATGACCATTCTTTTGCTTCTGACTCTGAACTAACACCATGGGCTATAGCTTCCATGTCATCCATGTTAATGTCCACAGGTGAGTAAGGCCGTTCACTGCTAAAGGACATAGAATCTTCTTTTTCTGAAGCACTTTCAGCCCTTACTTCTTCATATTTTTCTAAAGAGCTTAAAGGAGGATCACAGCAAACTGAATCTGCTTTATCTTCCACATTTTCTCCTTCTAGTGTTAAAGACTTCTGGCTGCAAGGTGAGACTGCCGAATCTTTAAAAACTTCTTCATCGGAAGACAGAAGAAAGCGATTAGGTTGGACAGCTGGATCTTCATCCTGCTTCTCCTTCACAGTTAATGGGGGAAGGTCATCATTAATTTGAGACGTTGACTCTTCCTCATCAGAACTGTCATCTTTTCTTTTGTCATTTATCATCATCTCAGCTGAGGATCTGGTATTATTGTCTTCATGTTCAGAAATGTGACCGGATGTTTCTGTGTAATTATCTTCTGGACTTGAATGCTGACTGGAATCATCCATTTGTGTGTTTGGATTTTGATCACCATCTGACAGTAGCAAATCTGAGCATTCAGCTGCCTCTTTCTCTTCTTCCTCTTCCACCTGCTGTTGTTCAACATCACTCCCCTCTGGACTACTCGTGGGTTTATTAGAGGTGTTTCTAGTGGCTCTACCTTTTCTTTTCACTGGACGCTTTTCTTTAGCCGCCTGCTTAGACTTCCTCTTTGCCGCTTGCCTCTCTGGCTTTTTGGAGATGCTGCTGGCTTTTGCAGAAGTATTTGTAACAGACGAGTCAGAATCCGAGTGGTTAGACTGTGATGAACTTGGATCCTGTACAGGGGATGATTCGTCTGTTCTGCTGTTGCGGGTCGACCTTCTTCTTGTGGTGGAGGACTCACTTTTGTTCTTTGAACTCTTCGGGCCAGAAGCGCGTGAAGAACTCTTCTTTTCTTCTCCCTTGGAACAAGTGACAGCACACTCTTTGCCAACGAATACTGGAATGAAATAAAAGAATAGAAAATCAAAGGCATTATCGAGTCAGGGTAGTTGTAAACATCATCAGCTATGTAAACATCATTAAAATATTTTAAAATTATGGGTGTTTAAAAAATACCAGCTCAAAATCATAGGATTAGCTTACTTCATCATTAACACTAGTTTCTTTCGTTAACATTGAATATAACATAATACAACCCATTAAATTGTACAGCCACAGCAATCTAATTTAATGGTTGGTTTAATTGGAAACAATGATTTTAGTTTGCTTGGAAGCTATGAAGTAGTGTTAGGGAAACAAACCAGTTTCCTTATAAACTGGAAGCAAAATCACGACAATCTGCCACATTTACAAAAAATAAAAAAATGTTTTGATTGCTAATGTTTTGATTTAGTATAAATTAAAAATGCATATTTAGGCAGAAAACGTGAATAGTTTTTTGAGTTGTGAACCTAATCTGTACCATATGATAAGCACAAATGCAAGATGAGTTTAATGCAAAAACACACTACAAATACATGCAGTAATAGCAGTTTCCTTTTACGATCTACAGAAAAGTGCATATTAATCCCACTGAGTACACATTTTCCTGGATAGAACTGCACCAAAATACATGGTCTTGAGAACAATCAGTGCAAACAATTAGTTTTTTTATCTTTTTTTTGCAGATGTTTTATTATAACTGCTGATTAGGTCAGTGATCTAAGGGTATAATTTTTTTTTTACAATTACACATTACAACCCACAATGGATATACAGTATATACTATCATACAATGCTACCAGTAGATTAAAAAAAGGAAAAAAAAAACAAATTAGATTTTTCAGAAAGACTCACTGAAATGTCCGGCTGCAAAAGGATTCGTTGGAGAGGTAGAGTCTGGTAATAATGATCTCAAGGGAAATAAACCATTTAGCATTTCAGAAGGATCAGAGCACTGCCTGTAAGACAGAAATAAAAGAAAATACTAAATTGGTTGAAGCTGAAAGCTGGCATTCTGTCACTATACTGTTAGATCAGTTTGTGTAAGGCCTGTGCAAGATACTGAAATATTATTTGTAGACTTCTCTGAGCACTTAGTTTCATAGTGAATTATTTTAATAGAAATCAAAATTCTCCAAAACAAATTCTGTGTGCTTCAGATGTTAAATGTAATTTACTGTCCAAGTTGTAACCACAACTTCAATGAAAAAGCACTAAGTAATGCTAAACTGCATTCACTTTTTTGAAAAATGCCCCCAAATCAAAAACGTGTGCTTACACCCAATTCAGTTTTCTGAATGTTTTGAAAGCTTTTTACTTCGAAACTTGCTGACGCACCCTCAACAGAATTCAGATACTTGTCTCCAAACTATGCTGAAGATGAATTTTTAGGAACAGAAACAGTTCCATGTCCGAGAGGGTGGAATTGACGGCGTGCGGAGCTCACCGAACGAGTCCGTCGGCGGGTACTGCAGTGGAGACAGGCAGCCAGGGCCGCTCACACGTTTCCAGCCTGCAGCGCTTCTGTCGTAACAGAGGCTCTCCTTCGTACACGTCCAGGAAGTCTGCACTGCAAAACATTTTCAGTGGACAGTAAAGTCAGCCCAAAGCTCAGAAAGCAGTGATATATTTGACATTTTGCATATTTATTCCACATACAGTTCCTTATTCAAATACTTTTTTTAAAATGTAAATTCCAGGGAATCTTTCAAGATCTACATCTTTTCTGAAATTTCCTGAAGAACTATAATGCAATTCAAAAGCTAAACAATTTCTGGGCAACATTAACATGATTAAATGGTGTTAAACCTAATATGTTACATGGATTAATAGAGTTAAAATCAGCAAAAACCTCTGACTTCATAAGCAACATTTAAAGTGACAATATCAAGGATCAGTGAGAAGCTCCATTTTATAACCATGTGAAGATGGGAGAGTAACATTTTTAGAAAAGGTTACAATCATACAGGTAAAAAAACTTTTTTATATAAAGGAAGGGGTTTAGATGTGTACTAACCAGCTTTCAGAAACTGAGATACACGATCCACTAAGCTGGCCACCCGAAAGGGATTTAGAAGAGAAATCGTTTTTAACAAGCTGTTGAGAACAGGTCCCTCTGTTGACCTATTAGAAAATGAAAAGAAAACCTAAATTGGGTCTCTGAAAAACAAGCATAAAACCTGGACCTCCTGAAAGAAGTAAAATGTTTGAGAACATTCATGTTAAAACTTCTATACAGTTAGAATGAATAATGTATCCACTGTAAAATGCTGAAAAGAGAAGAAAGGAAACAATGTTTCGGCTATGGAGTTTTCTTTGGGTGTGACACGGGTGTAAGAACTGACACCCGGAGAAGGCTCCACAGCCGAAACGTTGTTTCCCCTTTCTTCTCTTTTCAGCATGGAATAAACCTTTACTTGAACCTTTGTAGACTACATATGCTGACACAGATACCCACCTGAACTACTTCTACATTGTGTAATTCCCAACGAACATTGTGGATACAATAGGCATCTTAGTACCCTGTGGTCTTTCAGTCTTGAAATGCAAAAATGATTATCATGAAGTGTTTTACCAAACTGATTGTATACTGTGCATTCATGCAGAGTCAACAACTATAGTACTATGAAAGCTGCCAGGACCTTCCTCTACTTTAACCAGCTCTGCTAAAATATCATAAAATATCAATTAAACACTGTGATCAAGGTACATCTGGCTTATATCATGCACAGTTCATATGATCTATGGCAAAATGTGAGAACTGAGTACTGTCATATTAAACTTTCTAAAATATGAGCACAACAGCAGAGAAACACAGATGAGGGAGAAAGGGTGTGAGCATCACGCAGTGTGATGTAGAGTCATTTACATGACTGACACCATGAGCTAGGGAGCAGTGGGGCAGATGAAGTAATTTCAACATCTGTGTTAAGAGCTCACTGCAAGACTAGGTGAACAACAAGGTAAAAACCCAAAGTTTAATGTGGCAAAGAAAAGCATTTTCACTAGATTAAAATGTTTTTAAAGTTTGTCTACAATTAATAAAAATATACAAGCTAAACATCACTATCTATTGAGCACTTTTTGAGCATTTTCTGTATTTGAAACCAGCCAATTATTTCTTCGCTGTAAGAACTGACAATGCAAATGTTGCCCATCAATTCATTTGGATTATGCATGTTGCTTAACATGGATTTCAAAGTTAATTTCAAGTTTAGAATAAAGCCTTAATCAGGGTTCCACCGGTTGAATACATTGCCAGTAAACCCAAGCCTGTTTCTGTTTAGAGTGACACAGAGCACCATCTTTTTGACGCTAGTTTCTTGGTGATGGTTACCAAATGGTAATACACACCTACTGTTTTTTAAATAATCAAAAAGGATAAGATAAGATGTATACCACTGTGAATATCCAAGATATTAGATAATCAGGAGTAGAGCTGGGATAAACAATTTAAGATGACAGATATAAAGCAACTATCCCACTTGTATAACTAAAAATTAGCATAATTCGATTATTGTTACTTTCAAAAGATTAGTTTTGCTCATAAAGATTTTTATTTTACTACAGAAATGTAAGAGATTTTAGATTTATAAATTGAGAGAATCTACTGGGACCCATGGCTTGTAATTTGCAACACTGCATTTTTGATATATTGAAACTGCCAAGTAATAGTGCATAAAATGTTACTTTGTAGCACCCACACTTCCCAAATCTAGGTATAGAGCTACTGCTAATTTATTATAAAAAAACATAAGAAACTATGCCACTTTCTAAAGCAATAACTGATTAATTTAAACTGCATGCAAATTGAAATGTACAGGTTGAATGCTAAGAAATACTTTGCTTTACTTGGCTTCATTTTCTGACACTTAATTTTGCCATTGTGATGGATCTCATTTTCGAAATGTATTTTCAATGTAATGATTTCTTGTATAACTAACTCAAGCAGTAAAGAGTCATGTACAGTATGTTAAAACCAAGGTCCGCAGCAGGATCAAAACTAGCATCTCAGGACAGAAGGAATCAGAGCAGATAACTTCCATTCATTTTTGCTATAGATCTCTCAGTAGTAATCTTAAACTCTACTTTTTGCCTCGGCATCTGATCATTCTGCAGTTGATCACAGAACACTCTGAGAAAGTATCTGAGTAGAAGAATATCACAGTGTTTGTCCACTACCAATTGGTGACTGAACTGATGACCAAGTGAACATAAAGCTTACAAATGAGATTAGGTCATTTGGCCAAAAACAGTGAAATAATTATGTAGTGAGATTAAATAAAACACTGAAGAAATAATTTATATAACCTTAAATTATTTACCATAACGCATTTATCTGAAATAAAACTATGACAGGGTATGTTAGCCAAAGTTTAGGAGTTTGTTCAGAATATACTGCCTTCAAACTTGGTCACAGGTTCGTCATTTTCTGCAAAAACTCCATACATTTAAATAAAGCCACCTTTCACAAGGTGGAATTTATTGATATAAGGCAAGTTTCTACTTCCTGCTCAAACATTTGAGCGTTTTAATGGCAATCTTCATAAAAACATTTACATGAAGTACAGTACCAGTCAAAAGTTTGAGGATAGTCACTTAATATTTAATTACATATTTGCACTTATAATCTTAAGTGAGGTAAGATGCTAGTTAACTGTTAGAACATCTAAAAAAGAATTTTCAACTTCTTTTAGTGTTCCAACACCATTTCTGACTAACCTGGGCTTCAGACTGAAATCCACTTGCTTTGGGTGTTAATTTTATTGAAAATGAAAAATTAACATTTTCAATGCAGTTCACTTAAGATAAGTACTCAAAGTTTAAGCACTCAAACTTTTGACTGATACTGTATATGTGGGGTCAAGCTGGGTCACTAACTTAAGCTACACTCCACTTTTTTACAATTAATTAAATTTCTAGCCATTTTATGTTACAAAAGACATATCTTACTGGATGCTATACAAAAAACTGCTGGATCTGAGATTCAGAGTGATCTGGAAACAAATGCATGAATATTGTTGTAGTCAGGAGATATATATATTTGAGCCTTATTCAGGAAGTCAGGAAAAACTAACAGTTGCAGCTATTTGCAGTGTAACCCATTCATGTCTTGAAGTGAATGTGAAGTCATGTGATTCTGTACAGATACTGCTTAGAGCACTTGTGTTTTGCAATGCAGTTCCACGAGAAACTGCAACAGAAGCCTACTACTGCCGTATCCTGAAGACGTGCCTGCACTTTTTGTAAAAAAGTAAATACAGAAACTTAAGTTTATTCCATATTACTGCTTTGTGATTTCTCTCTCAATTTCCATAAACTACCAAAGAAATACGTGGAAGTGCATTTATAAGTGAGAAGAGGCAGCACTTCTTTACACAAAGGACTGTGGGAGTATGAACAAGCTACCCAGCCATGTTGTTCCTTCACGAAATG